TGATTTTTTTTGCCAATATTGCCCAACCCTATTTAAAACAATCTTGTTTTAAGACTTGATCAAAATGGATTCAACTGAACGCACACACACACACACACACACACACACACACACACACACACACACACACAGCTCTGGAATGGAAGAAAGCCTGTTTTAATTATTTCACAGCTTTCACTTCCGCTTCTGTTTACAACCGCTTTTTAAATAAAGTTAGTTTGAATAAAACAAACAAAAAGCATTGGACTAAAACAAAGCAGCAAAAGCAAAAGCTTTAACAGGTGTTCATCAAATATACTCATCAAAAACAGTTTAAAATTAAAAACAGCAACTTGCAAGTGAAACATAAAGTGTGTTTAGTCAGTTTAACACATTTAAACGGCTGCAGTTGTAAAATAAGAGTGAACCTTTGACCTTTCAGAGCTCACCTTCCTTTATGTCAGCTGACAGACACTTAAAAACACAACTGCGTGTTGATGTTATCTGCCTCGGCTCGGTTTGAAGGTTCTGTTGGACCGCAGCTCAACAACAAKAGTTGAATTGTACCGAAACAAAGAGGTGGCAGTGACTGCGAGGTGGTTTTAGGTCGAGATAAGCGACTGAACGCGCGCGAGTCATGAAATTTAATTAGCATGTTTCAGCTAGCATCAAGCTAAACGCCTCGTTTATTTAAAAAAAATAAAAAATAAAAACCGAGCCGGTTCAGACTGTTTTTAACTGCGGTGTTTTCCTGTCAGGAGGTGTGTTTGTTACCTGCAGAGGTCCTGGTACCACGGGCTGCTGCTGCTGCTGCTGCTGTCCCCCTCCGCTCCGGACCGAACCAACGAACAGCCCAGACAGGCTCCGAACCACAGAGCCAGCCTCAGAAACCCACGGCGGCCCGGTTTGTCCTGAAATAACATGTTTTTACCGCGCTGGATTCTGTCCGCGGAGCTCTGTTAGGACGACATGATACAGCAGAGACTCCGCAGCTCTGTAAGGAAGTGGTGGCGTCACATGACAGGACGTCACGTCACGTGACACGGTGCTGACTGAGGACGCGTTCAGGGTCTGTAGGAAAAACTTCGACACGGACCTTCAGTTCCTGGAAAATAAATGGTTTTATTTTTAGATTTCATCACTATTTATTATTAATTTAATTTAATTTATTTATTTATTTATTTATTT